TCCTGCATGGGGCCATCCGGAATGGGGGCAACCCTAACAAATCATCATCGTGATAGACAACTAATAATAATTCATTTATTTGGTGTAGATTTGAGAATAAGGCATGGAAACTTTGCAACACCTTTACCAGATAGTTAAGATGAACCATTTGCTCCCAGATATCCAGCAAGTTAAGTATTACACAGAGGAGTCCCTCTTCTCCTACCTCATCCTTTTGCAAATACCTCTAACCACTGAGAGTAAATTGCTTTGCTGGATCGGAATAAGTGAGGTACTAATACCAATCTATGAGGTAATAATACCACTCTTACTAAGCCTTAGAATACCACACCTAGAATACTGCAACCCACTTTGGTCACCACACTATAAAAAAACATGTTGTGACCAGTGGTGGGTTCCTCCCGGTTCGGCCCGGTTCTCCCGAGCCGGTAGCGGTGACGATATGACGTCACCGAACCGGTTCTGCCCCACCCACCCATCCTCGGGTTATTCTTACCTTTTATTTGGCCCCACCCCCAATCTATGGCTGCCTCCTGAGTCCCAGCTGATGGCTAGAGGGAAAAAAACTGTTTAAACTCTTGCCGCAGGGCTTCAAAGGGCCGCCCTACAGCTGATCAGTGTTAAAAGAAAACAAATGAGTAGACCGGTGCCTGCAAAAATACATGAGTAGATCAGTGCCTGCAAAAATAAATGGGTAGATCGGTACGGCTCTGCAAGTAGTTAAAAGCCTGGTAGACCAGTACCTCTGCTAAATCCTAAATAATTGTCACATGACCATCAAGCTACGCCCACAAAATAAGCCATGCCCACAGAACCAGTAGTAAAAAAATTTAGAACCCACCCCTGATTGTGACTCTAGAAAGAGTGCAGAGAAGAGCAACCAAGATGCTTAGGGGACTGGAGGCTAAAACATACGATGAATGGTTGCTGGAACTGGGTATGGCTAGTCTAGTGAAGAGAAGAACCAGGGGAGACATGATAGCCGTCTTCCAATATTTGAGGGGCTGCCACAGAGAGGAGGGGGGGTCAACCTATTTTTCAAGGCACCTGAAGGCCAGTCCAGGAATAATGGATGGAAACTGATCAAGGAGAGATTCAACGTGGAAATAAGGAGAAATTTTCTGACAGTGAGAGCAATCAACCAATGGAACTTGGTTTGCTTTCAGAAGTTGTGGGAGCTTCACCAGTGGAGGCTTTCAAGAAGAGACTGGACTGCCATCTGTCAGAAATGGTGTGTAAGGTCTCCTGCTTAGGTGGAGGGCTGGACTACATGACCTACAAGGTCCCTTCCAACTCTGTTAATCTGTTAAAAAGTTTCACAAGCAGGTGGAGCAGTGTTTCTGAAGCTTAGCAAGTTTAAGATGTGCAGATTTCAACTCCTAGAATTTCCCGGCCAGCTAAGCTGGACAGATGCCAGCAAAACCCCAGCCTTTAAGTCCAGAAAAATTACTAGCAAAAGCCTAGAAGAGTTTAAGCTTAGAAGAGTGACTGACCAAAAAAAATGCTTTTTAACTCGCCAGGGGCTGGCAGAGGAAGCACCATTGACTGAATGATGGGAGATCCAGCTAGGTGGACTGATTTTGAAAAATTCAGGAGGATCAGACCTGTTTAATACCGGGATGAGGGGCCACCAGGAAATCCACAGACTAAGGCAAAAAAGCATTCCAGTATAAGCCGTGGCAAACCACAATATGTCATTGCTACGGAAAGTTTGCAATCAGCAGGAGCTGAGCTCAAAAATTGAGTGTTGGGGACTATTACTACTAGATCTATTACTGTTACTAAGAGGAAGTTTACTCACTTGTGTGAGACCCAATCAAGTCTTATTGCAAATCAATACAGATATTAATTCCTTCTCCATCTTCCTGATATGTCATTTTCCTGGATTTCGATTATCTTTTTTGAGTTATTAGCCGATCCACCCTCAGGCGGAACCTCTCACTTATTCTGCTTCCTTTTACAATTAATTTTGCCATCTTTCTCTCCCTGCCTTGTTCTGCCTCTAAAATATCGCATCTTTGAAATCTTATTTAGCTCTCATCCCTTTTTCTCCTCATTGGTGGCTCTCTAGCTCTATCTCTTCCTCAGTTTCTCTTTCTGTGGTCCTCTGACCTGTGGTCAGGGATGATGGGATTTGGAGTCATACATACTCTTCCCCTGTCTCTGCCCTGCTAAGCAGTTGCCTGTCATTTTCCTCTGCTATCTTCTACCTCAGTGCTTCCCAAACCCCGGGTAAATTATCCCGAGTGAGGTAAAATTAGTTTTTTTTGGGGTCACAACATTCAAATCCTTCGCCCAATCACAACAGAGACATTTAAGCAGTGACTTTTCAATCAGTGATTTTGGCTGATGAAGAAAAAGGCCTAGAAAGTACCATTAGCAATAGCAATAAGCACTTAGACTTATATACCACTTCGCAGTGCTTTATAGCCCTCTCTAAGCGGTTTACAGAGTCAGCCTATTGTCCCCCAACAATATAGGTCCACATTTTACTGACCTCGGAAGGATGGAAGGCTGAGTCAACCTTGAGCCTGATGAGATTTGATCTGACAAACTGCTGGAAGCCGGTGATCAGCAGAAGTAGCCTGCAGTACTGCACTCTAACCACTGCGCCACCCCGGCTCACTGCACCATTATTTAATAAAGGAGAATATTTGTAACTCACAATTGACATGAGGGGTCCTTGATGCTCTAGTGACTAGCACTGATGATGGTACGGAGTTTGGGTCATGAAACGATTACAAGAAAACAACCAAGCTCAGATAGCACCTAGGATCCCTCACTGTTCTATCTATTCTACGTTGGTCTATCTAACTCAGGGGTGAAATTCAGCCGGTTCTATCCGGCTCGGGTAAACCGGTAGCAGCAGCTGTGGGAGGCTCCGCCCACCCTTGCGGACGCTATGATGTCGCTTTGCGCATGCAAAGGCTTTGCGCATGCAAAGGCTTTGCGCATGCAAAGGCTTTGCGCATGCGCAGATAATGGTGTGCGCACATTTGCGAACCGGTAGGGAAGATAAGTGAATTTCACCCCTGATCTAACTTGATGTTTCTCAAATTTGGCAACTTTAAGATATGTGGACATCTACTCCCAGAATTCCCCAGCCAGCCAGCTGGGATGTGTGGATTGGCTGGAGAATTCTGGGAGCTGAAGTCCACATATCTTAAAGTTGTCAAGTTTGAGAAACACTGATTCACTTATCTATCTTCATCTGTTTTCCCTCTTCTCTCTTTCTGGATTCTAGTATTCTTTTATCAATATTTTTTTAAAAACTTAGTGGCGCATAGGAAATTGGGGTAGACTGTATTATATTCACACTGATCTTCCTTCTATTGCACTTTCTTCCCTCTCTTTCCTTTCTGTAACTCTGCCAACTCCATCCAAGAAAATCTACTGTTTTATCTATATTTATAGGAAAGCCAGGCTAGCCATAACCCAGAGGGAATTTGATAGCATTGTTCAGACCAATAATATGAATACTTTTTTATTCAAAGACAGCAGATATCACCAGCTACCTCACATTTCCTTACTAAAGTCATGAAAACTTATGCCTTTGAATTAAATGTGTTCATTTGAAAAGATGCTACCATACTTCTGATTTTGAGCTATCTTTGTAACTGATAACTGCTGATATATATATATATATATATATCAATTTTCTTACTTCTTCGTAGGGTTTATGTGTGTTTTTCTTCTAGCCAGGTTTTCCCTACGTAGCCAAGGTTTTTTTGTAGCTCCAGCTCAGTAGAATCACATCTACTCGGTTCTGGGCTTTTTTCCTTTCTAACACCTAGCAAGCTCTTTAGGTATATAACAATTAGTGCATAAATAAGTATAGTTAATTACTACAAAATATCTTCCACTTTGTGTCAGCTCTTTTTTTTCTGTCTCTGGCCCCACAAATTAGATTTTTCTACTTAATCTGAATCAAAAGAACATTAAAAAAAAAAACACCTTTGAGATTAGATCTGCCTTCATACTACAAGTTAGATGCTCCTGGAAGTTCTCTAACATCAGAAAAGTGCCTGGAAAGTCAGGATAACAGAACAACAGAATAACAGAGTTGAAAGAGATTTTGGAGGTCTTCTAGTCCAACCCTCTACTCTTGCAGAAGACCCTATACCATTTCAGACAAATGGCTGTCCAATCTCTTCTTAAAAACCTCTATTGATGGAGCATCCACAACTTTGGGAGGCGAGCCGTTCCATCGATTAATTGTTCTCACTGTCAGGAAATTTCCTCCTTATTTCTAGGTTGTATCTCTCCATAATTAGTTACCATCCATTACTTCTTGTCCTTCCTTCAGGTGCTTTGTAGAATAGGTTGACACCCCCCCCTCTTCTCTGTGGCAGCCCTTTAAATTTTGGAGCACTCCTATCATGTCACCCATTTCCCAAACAGGACCACTTCAGTTCCACTTAGCTAGGACAGCAGACACCTTCAGAACATCAAATCTTCTCCATCCAACTAATTTCGAAGATCATCTACACTAGATTAACATATCTTGTCACTGGCAGTTCCTTAGGCTAGCTTTGTGCTCGATCAGGTACCTCAGACTGAATTCTTTTTCAGGGAGCCTTAAAACTTTCATTCCCTGCGCTCATTTTCACTGTCTCTCTTCACCTCTTCTCATTCAAACATTTTCTCTATCCATCATCCTAATTTATCTCTCTCTCTCTCTCTCGCTCTCTCTCTCTCACACACACACAAATACACACACATGTCATTTTGATTAGACAAAAGAAAGGAAGAGAGCTAACATCTGTGCCGCAAACATCTGGATCTCCCCCTCTGGGTCTTGATCTTACCCCATCAACGCTTTATAATATCTTTTCATTTTGGGGACATGTCCCATTGTGCACAAGAAGTCATCGCTTTACCAAAAATAAATCTCCATAATGACCCTTTGCAAGTCCCCGCCTTTACGGTGAAATGGGATTTCCTCAGTCACACTCCCTGCCCTCCACCGTATCCACCTCCTTGCAGGTTTCCCATCTTACTTGCAGAAGTTGGATGCTCAGGCTGGGATAGAGAACAGCCGCATTCAGTCACCCGCTGCTGCCTCTCGGAGTGCTTCACTCCTTCGTTCTCTCTCTCAACGGCGTCTCTGCCCTGGAGAGAGGAGGAGACAACCTTCTGGCCATCGGATTTCCTGGCTCAGAGCAGCCCTGGCGTGAGAGCAAGCATATGTGCCTCACAAATGTGTGTGTGTGTGTGTGTGCGCACAACACACACACACATACAAACCCACACCCAAAACTCATTCACTCCCTCTTTGGTTTGGAATCAGCGAGCGTCTGACACAATTGCCATGAGATCATAAATGGGAATGGCTGATAACCATCTTGGCAACCATCAAGGAAGAAGGATGCTTGGGAAGGCCTCTTCTTCCAACACTCTCATCCTTTTTCTTTCTTTCTTTCTTTTTGTTCTTCTTTACACCCCCCCCCTTCACCCTTGTATCCAGACTTTGAATGGGGGCCTATATCTATCAAACCTTTGGATCAGAATAACCAAGTTGGAAGGGACCTGGCAGTGGTGGGATTCAGCCGGTTCGCATCACTTCGGGAGAACCGGTTGTTAACTTTCTGAGCAGTTTGGGGAACTGGTTGGTGGAAGAAATCATTAGGGCAGAGAACCGGTTGTTAAATTATTTGAATCCCACCACTGGACCTTGGAGGTCTTCAAGTCCAACCCCCTGCTTAGGCAGAAAACCCTGTATCATTTCAGACAAATGGTTGTCTAATATATTCTTAAAAATGTCCAGTATTGGAGCATTCTGGAGGCCAGTTGTTCCATTGATTAATTGTCCTCAATGTCAGGAAATTTCTCCTTAGTTCTAGGTTGCTTCTCTCCTTGATTAGTTTCCATCCATTGTTTCTTGTCCTGCCTTCAGGTGCTTGACTCTCACTTCTTTGTGGCAACCCCTGAGATATTGGAAGACTGCTATCATGTCACCCCTAGCCCTTCTTTTCTCTAGACTAGCCATACCCAATTCCAGCAACTGTTCTTTATCTGTTTTAGCCTCCAACCCCCTAATCATCTCGGTTGCTCTTCTCTGCACTCTTTCCAGGTTCTCAACATCTCAACATGACACATAGACATCTCCTTCCTCTCTGCCTTGCCATGGCTCCCTCCGGAGTGGTGCCTAAGAGCTATGCCTAAGAGCTCTTCTCTGTCGTGAATACAGGGAGTCCTCGACATACAAGAGTTCGTTTAGTGACCGATCAAAGTTATAGCAGCACTGAAAAATATGACTTACGGTCATTTTTCACAGTTATGACCTTTGCAGCCTCCCCATGATTATTGTGACCCAAATTCAGAGGCTGGTTCATATTTATGACCGTTGCTGTGTCTCAAAGTCACGGGATCCCCTTTTGCGACCTTCTGACCAGCAAAGTCAATGGGGAACTCAGATTCACTTAACAACCGGGTTACTCACTTATCAGCTGCAGTGATTCACTTAACAAATGTGGCAAGAAAAGTCCTAAAACAGGGCAAAAATGTTTCATTTAACAACCGAAATGTTGGACTCAATTATGGTCGTAAGTCAAGGTCTGCCTGTAATTTATTTATTTATTATTATTTATTTTGTCGCATTTCTATGCCGCCCAACTCCCAAGGGACTCTGGGCGGCTAATGTTATCATATTAATGTTATCATATAGAGAAGAGTACAGATTCTCCCTCTTTGCAGGGCGTGAGTGGAACAGCCTCTACAAACTTCATCCTTCTCTTCCAAAACTGATAGGGCTACAGTACTCAGAATTGATTACATGTAGTCCTTGACTTACGACAGGTCACTTAGCGACCGTTGGAAGTTACAAAGGACTCAAAAAGAGGACTTACAATGCAGATCTGAAGTTCTGGCAGACATGCCTCCCACGGTCACAAGACTACCCTTTGGGTACTCAGCAAACACAACCGTACTTCTCACCCTTTCTAGAATCCTGTGGTCACATGACTGAATTTGAAATCAATTTAATTGTTAAAAACTGGCCCCCTTCTTGTTTACAGCAAACCTACGTAGCGAACGATGAGTTTAGTTAATGATCGTGGCATTCACTTAATAACCACTGCAAAAAAAAAAAAATCATAAAATTGGGTCAGTCACATGGCCAACCTGTTTTATGACCGATATGACTTACGACTTGATTTATGATTTAGGACTGTAATGGGCAGCTTTCACTATTGTTGTAAATCGAGGACTACCTGCATTCAGTAGAACTACTCAGCTTAAATGTACAGTGACTATACATCCTTTATTATAAAGGACAGTCCTTTATTTCACAAAACTGTCCTTTAGAAAGGTTTTATTTAATTATTTATTTTCTTGCTCTTGCTCTTGAAGTTCCTATGTATACCAAAGTTGTAAACCTAAACAATTAAAAACAATAATGCTTATGAACCACTTTCAGATTTGTTGGAATTCATTGTTGGAATGTATTTTTATGCAACACCTGCAGTAGTATTCAGCCAGTAGATGACAGTGTTTACAAGTTTGGATCTATGGTATGTATATACTCTGTGCTCTTTTGTTCTAAGCAGAGTCTCCTGATTCCTGTTACAGTTAAAAACAGTTGAGCAGTAAAGCACATGGTGACTGTACTCTTCGTTAGCTCTGTGGTGCTATATATAAACAGAATTTCTAACAAGAATTGCCCCTTTTTCAGGTTTCTTTACTTTTTAAAGAAAACTGGATCGTCATATTTATACATAATCGTAAAGAAGGGGAAATTATTTAGCTCTCCTTTTGTCTCATTGGTCCTTTCAACCACAAGGATCAGGGTTTCAAACCATTTTAGGGCCAGACATATGAAAACAATAATATTAATGAAGGAGAATAATTGTAGCTCAGGGTTGATATGAGGGGTCCTTGGTGCTCTCTAAGCTGGGTTGTTTTCTTGCAGAGGTTTCATTACCCAAACTAGGAAACATCATCAATGTTAGCATGTCCTAGATGTCGCTAGCACTGATGATGTTACCTAGTTTGGGTAATGAAACCTCTGCAAGAAAACAACCCAGCTCAGAGAGCACCCAGGAGCCCTCGCAAAAACTATAATGTAATAATACTTCAATAAAGCTTAACTGAGTTTAAAGTAAAGGAAAGGCCCAGTGAGAAAAAAAAAGATGTTGAGACTCTAGAAAGAGTGCAGAGAAGAGCAACAAAGATGATTAGGGAACTGGAGGCTAAAACGTATGAAGAAGAGTTGCAGGAACTGGGTATGTCCAATATCTCAGGGGCTGCCACAAAGAAGAGGGAGTCAAACTATTCTCCAAAGCACCTGAGGGTGGGACAAGAAGCAATGAGTAGAAACCAATCAAGGAGAGAAGAAACTTAGAACTAAGGAGAAATGCCCTGACAGTTAGAACAATTAATCAGTGGAACAACTTGCCTCTAGAAGTTGTGAATGCTCCAACACTGGAAGTTTTTAAGAAGATGTTGGATAACCATTTGTCTGATGTGGTGTAGGTTTTCCTGCCTAAGCAGGGGGTTGGACTAGAAGACCTCCAAGGTCCCTTCCAACTGTGTTATTCTATATAGTAAAAGTGCTGATTGGACTGAATTTGCATTGCTCCTCGGCTTCCTGGGGTCCTTCCTTCTGCCGTCCCATAAATTGCCCACCCTCCAACTGGAGAGGTAAGCTGTCTTGGACTCCTTCTCTTGATCTTCAGGAAGGCTGGTATGAACTTGATTAGAACAAAGGATTTTCTTCCCACAACAAAGAACTTGGTTAATGGGATTTGCTGCTTACAGAATGTGATGACAGCCCTTGTGACTGAGAAGGTTTTAAAAGGGGATTAGATGATTCAGTTTCCATTCAAATCAACAGGAGGAGATCACAAAGGGAATACTCTAAAAAGAACAGGTGGCTCGGGAGTCTTAAGTGAAAGGAAGACGTATTGAAAAGAGGAACACACACGTTGCTCTGGCATCCGGCACAAGGCTGTAAGATAATTTCTGGGATTGCATTAAAAAAAACAAAAAAAAAAAAACCCCCGAATCCCAAGTCAGTTCTAAAGTCCCTAAGAAGGAAGGTGAAAAAGAAAACCCTCTTCATTGGAGAAGGAAATGGGCAGGTAGTGGAACACCTTTCAGCATTGCACAAACATGTTATCTTGTCCTTCAAAATCTCCTGAGCCATTGCTGCAGCTGCCCAAAATAAGCCATTGCAATCCTAGGCTGCGTTAACAGAGGGATAGAATCAAGATCAAGTGAAGTCTCAACACCACTTTATAATGCCTTTGTAAGACCAGACTTGGAATATTGCGTCCAGTTTTGGTCGCCACGATGTAAAAAAGATCTTGAGGCTCTAGAAAGAGTGCAGAGAAGAGCAACAAAATGATTAGGGGGCTGGAGGCTAAAACACATGAAGAACGGATGCTGGAATTGGATATGGCCAGTCTAGAGTAAAGAAGGAACTAGAGCAGTTGCGACCAGTTCAGGCGAACTGGTAGTTGTGACCTCTGTGACATACCGTCCTAGTTAGCTGTGTTTTTTAAGCCATGCACATGCGTGCAAGCGCTTGCATGAGCAAAGAGCATGCACAGAAGGCCGTGCGCATGCTCACATTTTCGGTGCTAGGGCGAACCGGTTGTTAATTGTTAAAGAGCCTTGGTAGTACAGTGGTCTAAGGCACCCTGTTATTAAGCTGGTTATTAAGACCAGCTGCCTGCAATTACTGCAGGTTCGAATCTCGCCAAGGCTCAAGGTTGACTCAGCCTTCCATCCTTTCTAAGGTAGGTAAATTGAGGACCCAGTTGTGGGGGCAATAAGCTGACTTTGTATAAATATACAAAAGGATGAAGGCTATTGCTGAGCACATTGTAAGCCGCCCTGAGTCTCCGGAGAAGGGCAGCATATAAATCAAATTAAATTAAAAAAAAAAAATTAAAAAAAAAATTATGTGCCGCCCACCTCTGAACTAGGAGTGACATGATAGCAATATTTCAGTATTTGACAGGCTGTCCTAAGACGGGGTCAATTTATTCTCCAAAGCACCAGAAGGCAGGACAAGAAACAAGGGATGGAAACTAATCAAGGAGAGAACACCAATATAAAAATAAGGACAAATTTCCTGGCAATTAGAACAGTGGAGCTGTTTGCCTTCAAATGTAGTGGGTGCTCC